GTGTTACACAGCTAAGAAAAGCACCAAATCCAGGTTCAAGGCACAGAAAGGGACTTTCCTTTGCCATTCTGTAAGAAATCAGAGCACCTGTGCTCAGACATGGAGATACCTATTCTCCAGGACTCAGGTTTGTTTCCTTCCTGTGTTATGTTGGTATTCAGGGCATGCTGCAAAGCCTATTTATTTGCCCCTGCTTCTCCTGAGGCGTGCATGGGAGACAGAATTACACATTATCTTTAGTTGATATTAGTTCAATTGATTTACCTGTAATTTTGCAGTGATTTGTTGTCTGTGTTTCTAGGTCTGTTGTGACCTTTTACAAGTGGAAATTATAAATAACTCCAGTTTTGGAGACTCATACAGCAAAAACTAAACAGCTTTTAAGATATTCCTCCAGTTGCCAGTACATTTGAGGTCCAAACTGTTCTCAGTCCCATGGACTGGATAGCATCACCCAAACAGGGAATCTTAAGCATTACTTGAGCATGAATATACAAATATTTTCTGACAGATTAAGAACTGGAAATAACTCTACCTCTGAGCTAAGTGGCAGATATGGGGGGGAAAAAAAAGAAAAAATAAGGTTTTAAGCATGAAGACATGCAGACTGGGTAAGGAGAGTTGGCAACCTTGTAATTTCTGCTTCGCACTTCAATCTGCTGACAGACATCTACTTTGCATTCCAGGAAAGGCAGGCTTGCTGCAGCAGCCTTCAGCTGGCAAGGAACTTCCCTCACAAACCTTGGCCCAGGGATGCACTGTGGCTTTAGGAGCCTTAGGAAGAGTTATTGGCAGGAAAGAATTTAAGGACACCAAGAATCAGGTGAAAGTGTCCCTCTGCCCTTCCTCCTCTGTTGAGACATGGGAGTTCAAGCTCAAAGTACACATCCCCTATCAGATCCAAGTACAAGCTCCTCTTTCTAAAATGGGATTTTTTTAAAATCCAAAGCAGTCATATTTCCCTCTACTCACACTTAATATGATGGATGAAGCTAATTGTCATTAGTACATCACTTGGTCAGTTTCTAAAGACACGCATTAGGAAGTCACATTAGGAGGGATTTGTACAAATTTATAAAGCTTCATAAAAACAATTTAAATCCAATTGGCTTACAGGTCAGAATGGCCAACAGAGCAAGGGACACCTGCTGCTGGCAAGTGAAGTGTTTCATTTCAAAGCCAGCTGAAGCCTGGTGGAAGGTGGAAAAGTAGGAGCTTTCCCTGCCCTGGCACAACTTTGTGTTTACTTAGAGCACAAAGGCTGCTATTGCTGCCTGTAGCAATGTAAACGCCCTAAATTCAATCCCTGGCTTATTTTGCTGTCTTATTACTGTTACTGTTTTTAATTAAGACACATTTTGCTAATGAACCCACCCAGAAATAAACACCTTCTCCCACCCCTCCCAGTACTCTCCAAAAACCTGTATTCGAAAGCAGTAAACACTAATCAGCAAGTTTTCTCTCCACAAATGCTTAAAGTAATATTAAAAAAAAAAAAAAAAAAAAGAGGCCCAAAAATCAAGAGCTGTACATTTCTAGCACTTCAATCTACATTCAGAACCCCAAACAACAGACTGATGGTGCCTTTCCCAAAGGTATTCCCAGTCAGGTTTCTCCAGCATTAGGGATTTTTATTTGTTTTTCATGCTTTCAAAGGCAGAGTAGTACTATTTTCCAAACCTGGAAGGGCAGACTAAGGCTGTTGAACAAGATCAATTACATTGTTATTTTGTAAATCTTAGCCACAAATGGTGGGTTATGGGCTTAATAACACACACACATGCTCAAGAAAAGCTGAAATACCAGCAACATCCGTTTTTCTTGAGTGGCCACTAGACAAACTCAATGCTTACTTTTGTGATAAGGCTGCACAGACATTTTCATCCATGCCTTCTAAACATGATCATTAATATGATAAATGTGTGTGTTTACAGACAAGGAAGTATTTACATTCAGGTCACCTTAATATGCCAGATCTAGAAGGGAAGGAAAAAAGATTTGTAGAAGTGGCTAATTCCTCCAAAATAATAATATTCCTGTGTCCAAGATAAGAGGCATGCTATCTTAGGTGAACAGCAGCTTCCTTTGTTTACAGAGCTCTTATTCAACAATCATAAATAATAATAAAAAAATAATGAATAAAGTACAAGGCACCATTTTCACCAGTCTTAAATTCAGGACAATGTAATGCAATCAACATTTCAAGTCTTTGCAGAGTTTTGGAACAGCAGTTGAGTATTGAAAAGGTAATAATAAAAAACAACACTTCCATCTGCAGCAAGAGCAGGTGCCATGGAATTTGAGTTATCAGTGATAAGCTGATAAGAGTGATATCAGAGATAGCTGATAGAGACATATCAGTGATAAGCTCTACAAGAGGGGCACTGAGCTGCCAACTCCACACAAGTAGCCTTACAAATATCTGGACTGCAGCAACTCTTCTGAAAATAGCTGCATGCTTGAAATAGTCACTGCCAAACTTATTCCACAAGAGATAAATCATGCTACTAAGAGAAAGCAATAAAAATAAACAAACTAAGGTTCCAGGGAATTCCTCTTGTTTTACAGTGAATTAGCAGAAGCGCTGTAATGAATTTGCTCAAAATTGACAAGGAAAGGCTAAAGCAGAGGGGCAGAGGCCAGCTCTCCTGCATTCTAATCCAGTGCACTGTCTACAGGATCATCCTTCATACTCCTGAGAGTGGCTTGGTTGCTTGCTGAGGGCAGAAACCAGCCATAGCAACTGACTGAACTGAGTTCCACTTAAGAAAAAATCCAGAATTAGGTCACTTCTGGCCATTATCAAAAGAGAAAGAAGCAGCAGTCCTTAAATACTGCCAATACTTCAACTCCCCATATTTATAAAACAATCTTTTTAGTTAATGCTCACCCAGTAAAGCTGCACCAGTTAGAAATGGATCCCCACCTCACTCCACCAGGAAAGCCACCAAATTTTGTGACTGGCAGCCCTGAGCAGCACAGCCCTCCTGGCTCTGCCTCCACACAGAGAGGCATAATCACTGCACAGAAATGGGCACATTTCTGCCACTGTACTTCCATAAAGAGCCTCCAAATCACAGCAGCACTAAGGAAACTGCTTATTCCTACACGCCACTTTTGCACATCTACCCAGAGTGTCTTCCTTACTCCACAGTCTCAAACTGAAGAATCTTTCAAAAATTATTAATCAGCTTTCATTAGCTCTAAATTGCTTTTTCCTTGCTTGCAATTAAGGACTAATATCCAAAGAGTTAGAAATTTATAAGGTGATTAACCATAATGAGTGATTAACCATAGTATGATCAATTGCTGAATATCACAGATATCTTAGTTTTTCCCAATAAACTTTTTTTCCCCTATGTATTTGCACAAGCTTGAAAAGGAAGATTCATTTAGCAGAGGTTGAGCATTCAGCAGATAGTCTGTTCTTTCCCTAGAAGGCAGCTAGCTGTAGACAAAAATATCTGCAAAACAGAAATTAGCGTGGATTCAGAACGATTTAAGGTGACACTGACATGATGAAAGATCTGTTTTTACATGTGTAAAGTATATTTCATGTTCAGAGAAAGGAACACAGAAAGCACACACATGTTGTGATCAGCTCATGTACAGGACAAGTATCTGCTAGGCATGTGCAAACATCACTACATAAAATATATTTCCTTTCCTTGTGCTTCCATTCAATTAAATGTTGGTCAATCAGTGCTAAAAAAATTCCTGAGCAGTCAGTAGCATATTAAGCACTGCCTGGGTTAAAATCTCAAAGCAAGTGAGTGAGTTGGGTCCAAGGTTATAAGCAGTAAACAAGATTCTTTTTCAGCCACTCCAGCATCATATCAAAAAGCTTTAGTTATGTTAATGAAACCAAATTTCTGAAAGAAAAAATATTCACTAATTTCACATATTTCCCTACTTGTGGCATCCAATGTAACACAAGTGCAACTCACTCACTACACTCAAAAATCTGTGAAAGATAACCCCACTTAGGTGTTCATCAAGTAGATCTTACACAAGAAATTGCAGGTCAGCGCTCACTAGAGGATGAAACCTGATCTTTAGAGCAGAGCTTGTCACTCACAGTAAAAGCTGGAATCTCCAATTCAGCTGCACTCTTCAGGGTACTCAGAAACTCTTCTTGATAAGAACATATCCCCACAGAACACAACCCAGAACTTATTTCATCAGTATTTCTCTGCATTTTCCTTCCTGCAGAGCCATAGAAGTTAGGCTATTTCCATAGAAAGAGTCATTGTCAGAACAAGTAGAACCCAAGTTTTCTTTGGCAGAAATCAGAGAACAGCAAAACTTGAGGAAAAGTAAAGATGTTCTCAGGGCTCTAATGTACATCTAATATTTCACTTAGCCAATAAGTGAACCATTTGAAGCTTTAAAACCTATTAAGATGCTTCATTTTAGAGATGTATAAGAGGAAGACATAATACAACACTTTCATCACACCATTTTTTCCTTCTCCTGTTTGTATGGTGTCACCCCAGGGCATATGGCAATGTTTCACATTTCTATTTTCTTTTCAAAGCTATGTCCCAGTTAAGAAATCCCATGTTTAGCTAATATATGAGGAATGAGTCACTTATTGATGGGGAAAATGAGTTTATATGGGGAAAATAAGCATTATGCCTGCTGCATTAATGTTTTCAACAGTCATTACATTGCTTAGTGGAGCAGACAGCACAAGCCTAAAAGTAGTATTAGTGCTTACTTTTGGATGAGGCTGTTCACATTAAACCAGTTTCAGGACTCCTCTACAAAGCATTCAGAATAAGTGCTTCTAGCTGGAAGGGAAGTAAGTATTTTTAGCCACTCGAGGAACCAGGCTGGAGTCTGGAGTCAGAATAATTTCTAATGCTAAGTCTGAACTTCTTGTAAGCTTAGGGCCCACAGTCTTTTAAGACAACAAAAAATCAAGGGTTCGTCATCTGAATGTTTTTACTTTTCCAACAGGTAACTGCTACGGGTAAAGATCATCTTTAAAAGGGAACATGGATTTAATAAACTCAACTGAACAGAACAGTACATCAGAAGAACCTTTCAAATGGGCGACATCCAAGATTCTCATTTCCATTACCCTGTCTGTGCTGGCTCTAATGACAACGGCCATCAATTCCCTCGTGATGACTGCAATAATTGTGACAAGAAAGCTCCACCACCCTGCCAACTATCTAATCTGCTCTCTTGCAGTGACTGACTTCCTTGTGGCAGTCCTGGTGATGCCCTTCAGCATTGTCTACATCGTGAAGGAGACCTGGATCATGGGGCAGGCGGTGTGTGACATTTGGCTGAGTGTGGACATCACGTGCTGCACTTGTTCCATCCTGCACCTCTCCGCCATTGCTTTGGACCGGTACCGAGCGATCACGGATGCCGTGGAATACGCCCGGAAAAGGACACCTAAGCACGCTGGCATCATGATAGCAGTTGTATGGATCATATCCATTTTTATCTCCATGCCACCTTTGTTTTGGAGGCACCAGACAACCAGCAGGGAGGACGAATGCATCATCAAACACGACCACATTGTTTTCACCATTTACTCCACGTTTGGCGCCTTCTACATCCCGCTGGCCTTGATCCTGATCCTTTACTACAAGATCTACAAAGCAGCAAAGACATTTCACAGGAGAAGCGTCAGCCGGATTGTGAGGGAGGAGGGGGTGAATGGACAAGTCCTTTTGGACGCAGGTGAAAGAAGCACCAAGTCAGCTTCAATGCCCAGCACAACAGAGAAGACCTCAGATCCCCTGGTGAGCTCTGATAAAATCAACATCACCCTACGAAGTCCCAGGTCTGAATCCAAGCACGAGAAGTCCTGGAAAAAACAGAGAATCTCCAGCACAAGAGAGAGAAAGGCAGCAACGACACTGGGTTTGATCTTGGGGGCATTTGTGATCTGCTGGCTCCCATTTTTTGTAAAAGAAGTAGTTGTTAATACCTGTGAAACATGTCACATCTCAGAGGACATGTCTAATTTCCTAGCATGGCTGGGATATATAAACTCCCTTATTAACCCTTTAATCTACACAATCTTTAATGAGGATTTCAAGAAAGCCTTCCAGAAGCTTGTACGGTGCGGGCAATACCTTTAAGAGTTTTTGTTCATATAAGGAGAACACATTCATTGTTTTTTAACCTGTATAAATTTATATAACTGAGATGGCATTTGTTGTATTTAAGGCAAAGCACCAGGACTCTGCATTTACATGATAATGACTTTTTTTTTGTAGAGGTAATATTGGGAGCATTAATTGCCCAAGTTTTAAAGAGATGGATCATCTGGGATTGGTTTTGCTCTAGAAAAAGAGGTAGCTCTGATCCAGTTGGGATTTGCACAGCTGCCTAGCTTGAAGCATAAGGTATTACCTTAAATATGAAGGAAAAATGCACTTGAAGTAGATGAAGAAACAAAACTTTTTTAAAAGTAACCCTCAGTCATTGATGAAATGTTAAGTAAAACAACACACACATTTTAAACCCTACTGCTATAAGATAGAAAATACACCATGGAATGACAACATGATTTTAACAGTCTGGCACAGGCCTGCAGCATAGAGCCAAGCCATTCACAGCCAAGGGTAGTAGCTTTAAATATATCTACCATCATGCTAAGTCAGTGAGCTGCAGAGCGAGCTGCAGCCCTGCCTTGCCCCCTAGGTGGACTTCCCTGTGTTACACAGCATCCCAGCAGCAGGCAAGGGGCTCTGATGGCTTACCAGTTTCATAGCAAGCCAGTGTTGGGAGCCCTCTGCCATTGCACACCCACAGCAGAGGCGAGCATAACCCCAAGAGAAACAGCCAAACATCTGGAGCACCTCCAGTGAGCAGGGTACACAGAGTGCCTGGTGCTCTGAGGCACTGCTTGCATGGGAAAGGGAAGGTTCAAAGAGCAGCTGGTTCTCCTTGTGCAGATATTAGAAGAGAGAGAAGCTGGAGACAAGGAGACACTCCTTTCTCTATGTCCTCATACCTGGCCAGGCACAGAGCCTGTGACCTGCAGCACCAAACCAGCCACAGCTCATACCAGGGCTGAGCACTGCTGACAAAGGGTGGCTCAGTAAGGTTTGAAGGACTGGGGCTGACAGCTCCAGCTCAGCATGTTCAGCCCTCCATCCTCAGAAGCCTGATGCCCCTGAGCCTCTTCTCAACTGCCCCAAGCACCAGGGCTGTGCTGCCTTTCCAAGCAAGTGAGAAAGCACCACAGTGCTGGCAGCATGGGTCTCTGGAAAAGGCTGTGCAGCACCTTCTGCAGCAGGGGAAGAGGGAGTGACCTCAGTATGCACTGCACACCTGGGCAGGGGATCCTGTGGGATGCTCACTGAGAAGCGCACCTCTAAAACCCCTCCTTCCCCCAGAGCATACATCCATATCCCCATTCCCAGCAGAGTTAACAAAAACATGAACTCCAGCCCACCCTAACTTACTTAGTCAAAGATGACCTCTATGAACAAATCCCTTCCAAGGCCTGAAAGATGGCAGCTTGGCCAATCCTGACCAACATGCTCTGGATGCCAAGCCATGAAGCTGTTAGAGCCACACCAAAGCCCAGGTCTTGCACTTTTCAGGACAAACAGATTCAGGCTGTGTCACTAAGAGCCCAGATTCAAATTCTTTGTCAGACATTCAGTGCTGCCTCACAGGAACAGAGACTTGAAGCTCCTTACAGGGATCACAAACCACACTGTCAGCAGCAGCAACCTCCTGCAAAGGTTCTCCAGTTTGGCACTTGGGCCACCAGCCTAGGAACACCACAAAGGAACTGAGAAATAACAGCACCATTGTCACCTTTAGTTGGGGAAAGGTGTTACTGGCCTTGCAATTGTTCCTCCAAGAGACTTTCAGTGGTTTGTATTACACAAAAAAAGTCAACACTGCCATTTGTCTCTCCCCCTCTCCCTCCTCTGTATTACAAACTCTGGAGTTGGTAATAATTTTTGTATTTTCCCTGCTGGCTACCAGCTGACACAACAGCTGTCAAAAGGATTTCCTGCAAGATGACGAGGTTTGAAACTTGAGATACTGAACTAATTTGTTTCTGTCACTTACAACTTACTGTATTCTGCTTTCACATCGAGGTCCAAATGAAATGCTATTCAGAATTAGCAGAAACAGTGCATTTGCTGTTGATTTTAACACAGCCAGGAATCTAATGGAAAGCTCACTTGTCATACCATGGAGCCCTAGCACAGCAGTGGCTCAGCTAAATTTTGAAGATACTGGGATGTGACAGAGTGGAATTGGCTCATGCTCAGTGCAAGCCACCATGCTTTATTACCATTGCAGTCAGAGCACAGCCTCTGCAGCCCCCATGACCTCAGCACTGGCTGCATTATGCTGAGAGAAAAAATTGCTCTCAGCATCAGCTGTGCTCTGCTGTCTCCAGAAAGAGCCATGAATTTTAGCTTTCCAAAAGGATTAGCAGATTAGCAGGAGGCAGCACAGAAAACCCCACAAAATCATTCACTCTTGAAGACCTCTGTTTCCCAGATTTCCTGAGTTGTAACCCTGGGTGTCTTGGGGGAATCCATTCCTCTCCCCCTGCCTCTCCCTTTATGGCTGCTGGAGTACAGACTATATTGTTTATCCTCTTACTAGTAAGATGTTTGACAATATCTTGTGAAATCAAATTGGACAGAAAAATAGGGGCTGCTTTTCAGGAGAAAAGATACTTAAAATACTCATTTAAATAACAATGGGTGAAGCTCAACGAAGGAACCATATGTAGATAAACAGAAAATATCTGTCATTTATGCACTGTTAACAGTATTATACTCTGAAACTAATTAAGCTGCTAAACATTTCTCAAGATGCAGGGTGGTTTCTTTTGTATCGTTCTCACTGAGCTGTATCTGCTCACCCTTCAGCACAGTGGTGGGAGAGGCAACTACAAGAAATCTGATCAAACAAGTGGGAAGTTATTCCATTAAAAGCACTTGCGGCTTGTGGACCATCATTTCTTGGTGTCTGACTGCGACTCATCACTCGTTCCCTTACTGAGCCCACTGTGCCAAACACTTCCCCACACAGCATCACACAGTATCATTTCATCTCTAGCATTTACCCATGCATGTGATGTATCCAGAAAAAAATACATTAATTCCCCTTTCAAAATGGATAGACATTAAGATGTCTGCAGGATGCTGCTTTCCCTCCCCTTGAAGCACAGAGGCTTCCACTGGACCTTAGCACTAGGGTGAAGGAGCACAATTTTATGCACTGGAGCTAAGATTTTTTGCAAGTAGCTCTGTGCCCTGTGAGAGTTCAGTCTCAGCAAAGAGAAAAAAAAAAAAAAGTGTCTGGTTTCCCACCTCCACCAGAAGACTCTGTGTGTGTATTTCAGGGAAAGGGTTTAACATGTACTCCAGAGTTTGCACAAAGCTTCCTGAGTCCCTATCACTCCTGCAGCTGCCTCCCCATTGCTGTTTGCTGCCCACCTATCAGTTTAGATTTCTTCCAATACCCAGAGAACTGGATTTGGAGCAGCTGACCCACTCCCACTTCAGCTTTCACAGAGAATTGTTCCTGAAGCAGCTGTGAACATGATATCCAGCTCAGGTGGATGGTTTTTACGAACAACAAGCAGTCAGATACACCTCGTTGTGCTGTACTCATTTCTTTACCTTTCCTCCCTGCCAGATGATTTACTGGTGTCCTTTCCTCCTGAGGATGGCACACCCCTACAGAGAGCTTGGGGACACAAAAATACATTTGTTTTAGTGATGCAGTCACACTTGTTAACACATGACTGTACCACCCAGAAACACCCACCTCATCCAAATGCGCTTTTGGCAGTCGCTGTCTTCAGCTGGCGCCTGATTGTTCTCGGTGCTGGGGAGGTGCACGGAAATAGCTCCGTGCCAAATTATTTTCTCCAGCAGTTACAAACTCAGCACGTTATTTCTAGGCAAGTACACATTACTACTCGACCTTTGCACGTCAGATTCCCCTCGCAGAAGAGAAACAGAAAATCGCTGCTGTAGCTGCTGCTGGGGAAAAAAAAAAAAGAACAACAAAAAAAAAGGGCTCTTTGTAACTCCGCACACCAAAGAGTAAATCCTGCAAGAAAGTGAGAGGAAACCCTTGTAGTAGCCCTGTAAAGATTAAGAAGAATCCTAACACATGTCAGTCCTACTACAGGGACACTACTACCAATAGCAGAACTGCTAAAAGTTAACAGCAAGATGCTGACATCTCCTTCCCCTGTGAAATCCTGAAATTAATTAAACCAATTTTTTTTTCAGATTTTTCATTGTCTTCTGGAGAACCAGGATCAAATTTCTTACTTCACTTCTCAAGCAGAAAAGCTAAACCTCTAAAAGAAGCAAAAATGGTTTTGTGATTTAGTGTTTCTAGCCATCATAAAGTAACTCCAAAAAATTAAATCTTTGATGATACTGATCTTGGCTAAGAGGAAAGATTACAGAGAACAGAACAAACAGAAGTCAGCAGCAAGGGCTCTCAACAGCCAAGGTTACCAGCCAAATTCAAAACAGACTTTCTGGTGTCAAATCTCCCACACAATGAACACCAGCAACTGAAAGCAACTTTATACTCTCACTTTCTATCCTAACTTACCAAAGTATGAGTTTCATAAATTTCATTTTTTACTTCACATTCAAGTGAGTTACTTAAGTAAGAACTCTGCAACTCAGGAAAATTTCAGAAGGGAATATTTTCAGGCAAGGAAAAAGTACTGTGTTTCATTAGTCAAAGTACATCAGTACAATTATGAATTTCGAATCCTGGTTGGGGCTGTGTAAAGTCAAAGATGCTGCTTATCCAATGCTATTGCTCTTAACCCATTAATAGCTCAAACCAATTGTATCTACTCTTGTGTATAATATAATACTATTATATATATAATATAGGCCTAAGATTATTTTAAATATTCTGAAGTTCTGAAGGTATTCATTGCTATGCACCAGATGGGCAGCACTAATAAAAATATGCCTCTCTTTCCACTTTAAAGCAAGATACCTCCTATACATGGATGATATTTTCCCCTCACTAAATTAAGACTTTTCCCTTCTTCCTGTACACCCATTTATCTGAAATCCAGAGCTGTATTTCATGGTTTGGGTTTAAAGATGAAAAACATGTTTAACACCACAAAAAGTGCTAACTGCTAAGGTAATGCTAGAAGAGGGATTAATCTTCT